TGCTGGCCGGGGATGAATCGCCATCTGAGAAGGCCCTCTCAAAGACGTTGTCGCTATTAATCTCTGCGGGTCCTGTGATGGGTCCACGGCCTTGGATGTGGGTTTCCTGGGTTTCGAGCATATTTGCTCGGGCCAAAAGCTCCATCATACCTTGCATCTCCGTATCCCCACTGGCGTTTGCTTGTGCGTTGGCGATCGCGGCATTGGTTGCGGCCCATCCCATCCGGTCGCGCATGAAATCAATAGATCTTTTGAGAATGTTCTGACGACTGTGGAGAAATTCCTCGGACTGTTGGGCGAAGGAAAAGGAGTGTAGCGACTCGAGCGGAAACCGGTGTAGATCTTCTAAATCCGTAAAACTTCGGCTCGACAAGTGACTGGGATGCGCTCGGGAAGATGAGCGAGAGCGGGGAGAGGGAGCGGGCCGCTGGCTAGGAATGGGAGCTAGCGATAGCGACGAGGTAGACATATTTGGAAGGGTCAGTACTCGCGAAGGTTGGTTTTGGCGTATGCGGTCTAGCCCGGATGGACCAATTCCATGGTCGTTCTCGAACAATGGAGATCTGTTGAGATGCAAAAATTGTTAAGGATGTGTTAGAAATTAGAATGAATATTGTCGCTGACCTGGAAAGAGGGTCATATCCCGAAGAAACACTACCCGCCGAGCTCCTGAGGTGATCTGTCCGTAAAGAAAGGTTGTGCAGTCCGGACTCGGATTCGGGCGACTCAGAGAGGGATCCTAACGGCGACGAAAGAGGGCTCGGCTCGCCTAAGTTTGATCAGCATGATTCACCTAGCTTATTATCAACTTAATCGGCACGTCTCGAAGTTTCCATTCCACGGGCCTTTCAAGGAAATGTGATGCTTCCGAATGATCAGACGGTTGGTCTCCGCGATCAGATGCATCTCGGAGCATGTGCTAGCGGATGACCGTGATCACTTGGGAAAGAACCAATTCGCGCCCTGGTTGCTCCAAACCCTTCCAATGTTTCTTTTCGGGTGCTCAATGAGCCATAAGCTCACTCTGAACAGCACCATAGCCTGTCCTCACCTCCACTAGTTCCTCAAGGCCCATGGAATGTGAAACAAAGACTGAACGTCAACATGAAAAGAAAGAAGAAAAAAAAAACATATGCGCATGACTGACCATCATGGTTGTAAGCCGACCCCATCCCCGAGGTCTCTCTTCTCTCTCTATTGTCTCTCTTTTTTGGGTTTCGGTTGTTATGCTCAACTTCGAATTCAAATGATCAGATGGAAAACAAAGAAAAGTACGAGGCTCAATCGAGGCGAGCACTCGTGAATGTAGCTGGGGTATGCGACATGTATGGGCCGGTCATTCGCAACTTGGACGGGGGTTGGGCGGGCAGCTGCCTCGTAGGGTCTCAGGCGGCATATGTGGCGTCGCGGCTGGGCACGCAAAAGGTGAAGGACAAGCAGATGAGGTCGAGGTAAAAGGATTCAAGGGGGGAGAAGAAAAAAGAGAAACAGCAGCGGGGAAGAGAGTGGGGAGAAGGAAAATGCGAGAAAAAGGAAACTGGCCCCCCCCTTCCGTGATGTAATAACGTTTTGGGTATTTTTATATCTTTTTGTATATGGTTATATTGTTTATATCTAACGGCCATTTTCTCCTTGCAAAGAAAAAAATGAAAATAAAAATACAAAACATTCTCCCTTGAACAGATGATTTGCTTTATTTAGCTCAGGTGATCAACATATTGCTATCCCATGTGACGGAGAAATCTACTGTTAAAAAGACTGGTAGAATCAGATCTATACAAGATAGAAATGATATACAATACTATATCTTCAAATAGAACCACCAAGCTACCACATGAATACTTGAAGAGTATTACCCCGCTCGGTCAATGCAGCAAGTCAGTTATAGCCAAGATATTTCCGTAAAATCTCGAGATGATGCAAAGTGGCTTTCTCAAATAGATCCGAGCGCTTTATGTAGGATTAGGACACCAGTGGCTACTTACTTTCTATAAAGTTGGAAGACTGTTTCACATCGTGTAAATGGAGGCAGAAAACCGTTATGTTGTATAGAAAATTAGATCATATCAAACAGATGCCTCGTTTGTGGCATGAGTATCTGCAGCCAATTTCCATACGGGACAATGATAATAATGCAGCCTAATAGGAGATAAGAAGTGGGACTAGCTTGGACCCAGAGGATGTATCCCCCAGTGTATACGCAAGCAGTGACACTGGCAAAGTCGGCAAAGTATCATGGTGGGCCGGTCCCTGACAGAGGGTCCCGAGAGCCCCGAAGGCTGTGCAGCGCCAATTCACTATGCTCAGAATCGGTCCCTGGATTGTCATCTCCGCTCAATCCGAACAAGGCATTGGGTTTGGGCTTCCCTCGGGTTTGGTCGAGATGTCGAGTCTGCTCCGGCGGCGGCGATGTCGAGCTAACGAAGCCCGACAGGTTCCGACCACCGCCAAGCATCCATGAGAATCCCGAATCCGTCATAGAAGGTCGCACAGTTGATCGCGAAGGTATTGCCCGTGCACTCTCCTTCTTCCTGTCACTGTTCGTCCGACTTGCCGTGTCTAGGATAGAATTGGTTCCACTCGCGGCTTTCGGCCCGGTCGTATTCGCTTTGGCGGGATTTATTGTTCGGGATTGACTCTCGTTCGCCACAATATTGCCTTCTTTGCCCACTGTTGGCGTGACTGTCTCTTGTAACTCGTCCGGTTCGTTTAATTCGACATCTACACGGGGGTCAAGAGGGGGATCTACTGGTATGGAGGAGTCTCCGAGGCAGACCTGGACACTCTCAGCTTTGACCAGAGCCTGTTTCACTGCGATGTTTGTATCAGAATCGAGATCCTTGATATTTGCCAGCTTCGAGTCAAGATCGTTCAATGCCTCGCGTAAAATCGTCGCCAAAGCCTGGTTCCTTTGCTCAAGTAGATTGATCTTTGTTTCCAGTCTGGCGGAGGCCGCAGTCGATTGTATGTCCGAGGCTGATGCTGCAGAAACAGGCCTCGAAGAGCCAGGGCGCATATTTGGTTCAAAATGCATTGTCTGCATATTTTTCCTGGCTTCTGTCACGGCGCCTCGAACAGCCTTGGCTACGCCCCATATCTCCGTTCGACGTTGAATTCCCTGGGATACGTCTTGGAAAAGAGATTCGAGACTTTTAGGGCTGTTTCGGGCTGATGATCCAGCAGGGGAGTTGCTTTCACTGCGTTTCTTGAAGTCTTCCCAAAGGAAGGCTTTCCTCGTAGGCCGTGTACCAGGAGGGTTGTGAAATTTCGAATCGGGCGGTCTACCTGAATATTTCGATATGATGAAACTGCCTCGATCGGCGGTAGGGTTCTGTTCCAGATATAGTGCATCGTGCACAAAAGTCTGAGGTGTGTGTGGCTGGGGCGAAGGGTAGCGAAGTAATAATGTTAAGGCGGTTGTATAGTCGGCCGTAAGCACTAAATGATGCATGTCAGGAAAATAAGATACGATGAAGAATTAAGCAGGTCGACCAACATTGCCAACGAATTCTAAGCAGCATTGCAATGCACGTGAAATCAACCAGATCAGATCGTAGTCCATGGGCAAAGAGTAAATCCCACATCGTCAGCACATCGTCAAATGGAAATTCTCGCCCAACTAGAAGGCGCATCCAGCGGCTTTTCAGTGAGTTAGTACAGCAGAAGATGGATGGGTGTCCGAACGCAACTTACGTTAAGAAAATTTGCGGTAATACGTCCACAGCTTCCAGGTGCTCAGCGAGCTCATGATCGATAACCGCCAAAGCTTCCTTATGAAGATAATGACACCGATCAACTATCGGAATGACGTCCATCTGGCCATTTGCCGACCGCGTCTCGCCGTGTTCATAGTATATGCGGGCCGTCTGCATGACAGAGAGAAACAGCGTAAATGAATCATGTTCCACGAATTGTGCATCAAGAAGATCTAGCATCAACCCCTCACTTTTGTCCTTGTTCGCATCATGTCCTCCGGGGTGTGGCTTCACCGAGTCTCGATCTACTGCCCAGAGAATAGGCGCAAGTAGTTCGTGCATTCCTTGTCTATAGCCGACGTCTGGATTGAGCTTCGAGTAGATGAACAGGATATCAGTCAGCTTGGATTTCGTGTCGGGCTCTTGGAAAAAGTAGTTTTCCTGCAAGCATCGATCGACATCTTGGAGGATCTCGGTACGGAGCGTCTCATCGTGTCGGAGTGTTTGCCAAGGGGACTTATTCCAACAAGAATTAGTTAGACATGAGTATTCTTCAAGCTGGGCGAAGCACATTGAGATGTTGATTTAAGTACCTGCTCATCATCCGCCAGCGGATCAACAGTCGACTCTAAATCGTCCGGGTGTTCGATATATTTCAAGAAATGATCTCGCAGCGCGCGATAGGCATCCCGGGATTCTTCGAGCTTAGGCGCCCATTCGTTTTTATCCAACCCGTCGAAAAGTAGAAAAGCCTGCAAGAAGAATCAGCATATATCCCCATCTCGCGTTATGAGGTCAACAGTACCTTCCAACAAACCGACCTCAGTCCGTCATTGCACAGGTTTCCTCCTTGCTCGGATTGCAAAGCTGCTCGAAGGTCGGAAGGTGTATCGTTGTCGGAGAATAGGACGTCCCATCTCTTTCTGCGAGGGTCAGTACAAGTGATAAATTGCGGATAAATTGGGGGAAGTACCTAGTCTCCTCAATGGTTCTCATTGCTAGGGGATGACGGGGAGAACCTTAGAAGATGAGGGGATGCGGGCGATAGTAGACCGCCCGTGCCTTATCTCGCGCTACTCCGCCGCCATTGCGACATTCCACTGTGATATACAACATACAACATACTCAACCGGAGTACGGTTGAGTTCGGATTGTGAAGTTTGCACATTTAAAACAATACAGATTGTGGTTGGCATCGGCATATTCGATCTAGTGTTGCCGCCCCTGCAGACACTAAGTGCATTGCTGTACCGTTGCACTTTATGTCTCCTTTCACAGTTTCATGACAAACCGTGGACATTCAAAATGTCCGCAGACCTGTTAGCAGAGTTTGGTCAGACGCCTGCCCCAGACAATAATTCCAGACAGCAGCCATCGCAATGCCAAAAAAACTCATTCTTCGATGACGACGAGAATATCGATTTCTTCGGGTCATCGGGAAGTGTGCAGCACAACAAACGTCCCAATCCGACCTCGGAAACAGTCAGTCAATTTGCAGCTCCAGCAGCTCCATGGCATGGCCCTGGTCAGGAATTTAACCTTCCCTTGAATCCACATAGCGATGTATTATTTGATGCAGCATTCGACACACCAGCAAGTGATGCAGACGACTGGGGTGAATTCGAGGGCCCCGATTTAAACACTCAACATGCACAATCGACAACTCTTCAACAATCAACGACAGCCACATTGTCAAATCAAGAGCCTCGGCAGGATGCTCCACAGGTTTCCAAAACGATTGACTTGCTAGATTCACTCTCAATGCAAGACTCGACACCAGTTGTGAAACATGCGTCAAAAATTGCCCAAAGGAACCAAAACCTCGGACCTAGTAATGACCAACATCAGGCGGCATGGGAAGATGATTCGTTTGGTGACTGGGGCGATTACGCCGATGCACCTGCTAGCCAACCTCCCCCAAAGTCCCCAAAAAGGGAACAAAAGCACCTGCAAAACCGCCTGTCAAACCCAATAAGCCGCCTGCATCAACCTGGGATGACGATGCCTTCGACGACTGGGGTGACTTTTCAGATGGGCCTAGTGTGGAGGCTGTGTCCAAATCCAAATCCATCTCACCACCGACAGTCCCTAGCCCAGCTCCTAGTAGCTCTGTTTCTGGGGCCACACCCCCCGCAGCCATCGTCCGTCCAACAAACATCCCGCCGCCATCAGTCCTTCTCGAGTTATTCTTAGACGTGTTTGAGAATCTTCAGAAAGAGGCGGTACTCGCAAAATCCCAGCTGCGATCCTCGGCTCCACCGTCATCATCTTCAAGCACCATTTCAACGACAGCCTTAAGTATTCACAATGTACTTCAATCGGCCGCCCGTGTAATTGCAGGGCGAAGTCTCCGGTGGAAACGTGATACGATCCTTAGTCAGAGCATGCGAATCGGCCCTGCCCGTTCCGGAAAAGCCGGTGGTATGAAACTTAACAGCGTGAACAAGCAAGAGAACATCAAAGAAGAACAAGATGCCGTTGATGTGCTTACTATTTGGCGTGAACGGGCGGTGATTTTCAATGCTGTTCTACAAGCGGCAGGCCAGCGGCCGATCCCTACGGTCCCAGATCCTAGTGGGCTCAAGGTTATTACGGCGCGGGCGGACCAGGGGGCACTGAAAGCCTCCCATCCGTGTGCACTTTGTTCGCTTAAGAGAGACGAGCGGGTGTTAAGAGTCGACGAATCAAGTGTTCAAGATAGCTTCGGGGAGTGGTGGACTGAACATTGGGGTCACACGGCATGCAGGCAATTTTGGGAGAGGAATCGAAATTTGCTTGGGCAGCGTTGAAAGCTATGTTACATAATAATGTTGTATATAGAAAAAGAAAAATGAAGTACGCAAGTATGAATGTATGAATGTATAGAAAGATAGTTAACTAGAGGGAACTGTCAAATGACATAAGTTGACTGATGTGAATCATCGGGAGGGAACCCGACGACACACCTATCCCTCCCCTCTCCTCTATCGTCTATCCTCTTGAAGAGATAAGATTTTGTATCCACATCTTCACCAAACTATCTGATTCGTCTTCCTTTTTTGATAACAAGAGATCCCCCTCACGGCCCTCACGGGCCTCACGGGGAACTTTTCCCCCGCATTTCGGCCTGGCAGATTCCTTAACATATCTCAACACAGATGGCGGGCAATGGAAGAGTCACAAAACGATCGTCAAATGCGTGAGTGAGGTCTTGAATTAGTGGGAATTCACGCTGACAGTTTAGATGTGTGCGATGCCGGAGACAAAAGATCAAATGTTCCGGTTCACAGCCATGCGACGGGTGCAGCAAGCGAAAGCTTAGCTGTATATTCAACGATCGTGATCAGAAGATCCTGGTAACAAGAGGGTAAGTCAATTGGAGTCTTGAGAAGAATCGATAGCTCACATTTTTTTGCAGCTACATTCTGGAGCTACAGCAGAAGATCGGGCGTATAGAGCAGAGCGAGAAGGGCCAAGTGAGCCCTTTCAGCTCAAATTTCGATACTCAAATTGGTGTGTCTTGCTTTCTGCTTAGACGATTACCTGCTAACCTATTGCAGATCCAAAAGATCGCGAAGATGTACCTCCTTTGGAGAGAACTAGTACTCCAGAGGAGCATGATGAGGACCAGAACCTGGAGGATTTGGACTCCGAGCTAGCCAACCCGTTATCATCCGGTCCTCCTGCTTTTATGTCTGCACCAAATGGCCGCACATGTAGGCTACCCTAGTTTCTTGGAATGTGCAACTCTTAACATCTACTACAGTCTATCTTGGAACATCATCCAACTGGTCGTTCACTCGGCGAGTTCTCAGTTTGGCACATCAGCACCTCTATCAGGATACACTACCTACAGAAACTTTGATATTTGATGAAACGACCTATGAACTGGGATGGGACGGGTTACGAACAAGCCCGGGCCCAGATGTTCCGGTTGTCCCGACTCGCGATCATACCATGTATCTGATCAACGCCGTGCAATTCCGGTGCGGACAATTATATCATCTTTTTGAAGAAGATGAGTTTATGGGCTCTTTGCAGCAGTTTTACTCGGGAGATGGGAAATCCATGACAAACAGTTTGTGGTACATCCATTTCCTCCTGGTCTTGGCTTTTGGGAAAGGATTCGTTCAGCCCAAGGCTCAAGGTAAAAAGCCACCGGGGGTGTGTTATTTCGTCAAAGCTTTGCAACTTCTGCCTGACCCGACTGCTCTTTACCGGGATCCTATGTTGGGAACGGAAATCCTATGTTGCATCGCCTTATACTACCAGTGTGTTGACTATCGAACCTCGGCACATAACTACGTAAGTTTTCCAAAGGAATGTTTCATTTGAAAAAAAAGCCTGACTGACCAATTCTCTAGATCGGGCAAGCCATGCGGATAGCTATGGCACAAGGAATGCACACCAGCATGCCAGTCGAAGATTTAGGACACGACATGGTCCAAAGATGCGGCAAAATTTGGTGGACCATTTATATCCTGGACCGAGAAATGACATCGTTGATGGGTCTGCCTCAGTCGATCAGTGACCGATATGTGCAAACCCAGCTCCCTACCTTTGCAGATCTATCGGAGACAATGTCATTAGGCATGCACATCAAGTTGTCCCAGATCATTGCCGAGGTGAACAGCAGTAAGATTTCCCGAGCCTCCCTCGTTAATCATCATCCCTAACAAAATAAACAGCAATATATGTTGTCAATGGACGCATCAACCGGACTTTTCTGCTGAGCACCAAATCAGCATTGGCGAGCATCGCAGGGCTTGCCGATGAGCTTCGCGAGTCATTCCCGCTACACTTGGATCCAGGCAGCGGCGTTTCTCGAATATCAGCATATTTACATCTTCAATATCACCAGGTACGTGCCGTTCCCTTTGTGGGAAGAGACGCATCCGCTGACCACTCACCCGCAGTGTATCATCCTCGCCACGCGGCCTCTCCTATTCTGCTTTCTTAAAATCCGCTTTGAGTCCCCAGAAAACTGCCTGGAATCCCTCGATGCATCCCGAAATGTCCGAAACCTGATGCAAATGTGTCTTGAATCTGCTCAGCACATCATCAGTATTCTCTCCAGTTTACAGAGCCAAGGCCTGCTAGGTAATACAACCCTTCGCTACTGATAGGCCCTTTCGACTAACAACCAAATTCCAGAAACCTTCCTCCCCTTTGATCTAGAATCAGTTTTCGTATCCACAATCATCCTCCTGATGGGCCCGGCAATCGACCCGCGAGTACTAGAAAGCCACCCCAACTGGCTAGAGAAAGCCTATGCGATCTTCGAGGAAATGATCAGAGACGGAAACCAAGTTGCTAAATTCCGGCGATCCGAACTCCAGCAGCTACACCAGACATTAATAGGATGTCTCTCTGGTGATCAGCCCCGACACTTACCAGTCGCTGAATTCTTCCAACAACCCAATATTCTTCCAGATCCAGCTTTCCCTTCTGCAACACCGATTCCTGGTGTTATACCTCAGTCTGTTCGGTATGACGATGCGCTTCTAAGGCCGGATCCTGATTTTGATGTGGGGTGTGATTTTAGTACGATGCTGACTTCGGCTGAGATTATGGCTGTCGCGGACTCGATTGAGAGTTATGATACTGAGTGGGTGTCGAATGCGATGATTGAACATAGTATATGGTAAATTGAATGTGTGATGAGTTGACGAATTCCAATTGGATTCCACTGGTATCCTCGATGCATAGTATGCGTTCTAAAATAAATATAGGCTAGTCTATGACTTGTGCAGTTAATGATACTTTTATCTTGAGCCTGAAAACACCGTAAAGAGGAGCGCATAGTTATACTCTTCTAATATTCAAATAGATTAAAGCTTAGACAAAACAGGAGGCCGGATCTCAGAGAGCTCCTTCGACTCCCCAAGACGCCAGCTCACATCACCACCCCAATTCCCCTTACCCTCATTGGGATCGGTATGCTTCCATTTCCACCGTCCTTCACGCTGCTGCCCAGCCTGTAAGAAATTCGCAACCCACGATCCAAAGATAGGGAACATCTTGAACCCATGTCCCGAATCACCAGACAATAAAACAACCGACGACGAGGTCTCAGGAACAAAATCAATAATAAAGTCCGAGTCATCGGTGTCCGCAAACCAGCAAAGTGACTTCTTAACGAGTGGACGATTCGCCAGCGCCGGAAGAGTCTGCGCCAGCAACTTCCTCATCTGCCTTTCATCATGCTCCGGCACAAAGGCACTTTCCTCCAAAGTTCCCGGCGCATGAGAAACCCCAGTCCGAGGATCCGTATTGATATATCCACCTCCCATAGGACAAATCTTCAGCAGGTTAGTCTGAGGATCAGGCTCGAAGAGGAATCCCAGATCACGAGCATAGGTGACAGGAATACCACGCAGCGCAGAAGTCTCCTCATCGGTAAGATGAACATGCGCAACAGACCACGACTTAGCCACGACCTTCTTCCCGATCTCCGGGACAAGACGGCCGACTGCACCACCCGCTGCGACAATCACCAGCGAAGAAGCGTGGAACTTCCCATCCTTCGTTCGGATTCCGGAACTCTTCTTGCCGTGTAGTGTGCTGACATAGACGATTTCATCGACTGCGCCGTGTTCACCAAGGTAGAAGCGCACACCGGCTGCCTGCGCGGCGCGGTATACTCCCGCCAGTGCGTTGCCGGAGTGTGCATACCCGTCGAAGCGGTTGAGGTATCCATTCCATCCGGTTAACGGGCCATCGAGTTGCCAGCAGGCTTGACGAATATCGTCCTTGCTGTCGATAGGTACGACATGTGGTTTGATTTGATCGCTCGCATTTGCCGAAGCCCGGAATCTATTGAGGGTGTCGATAGCTTTCTTGGGTGCTTCGCCAGACACGCAGTGGAGGAATCCAGTCTGGTGGAAATAAGGTGCGAAAAGAGGGGTTTTCCATGCGGCGATGGCTTTCTAATTAAAATATGAACAAGACATCGGTCAGTAATCCACATGGTCACTATACCTTTTATCGAAAAGATGGTTGACTTACGATTGTCAAATCGGTGTAGAATGGATCCTCGTATTCCGCGCGTACAATCTTGTTCAGATCATTGGCAGCTGAATAGCGCGGAGGAATATGTTCATCTCTCTCGAAGACGGATATATTCGTGAAGCCCGAGCGAGTCAGATGAAGAGCACTTGAGAGCCCAAAGGCTCCGCCGCCAACAATGATGATCGGATCGGACTTGGAAATAGTCATTGTGAAATGCGATGGAGAACTTCTACCAAATGATCTAATTGTTCTATATCTATAGTTACACAGCTCACTATCCATGAGTCAACGGCGTCAATTCCGACACCAGGGCCTAGTGCGGGGGATGCGGAGAAGTGGACTATCGGGAGGGTTCCCGATGGCCCAAATGGACTTTTTGATATTTTGGATAATTTGGATATTCTCGGATATTCTTGATAAGTGAATGGAGCCACGTAAGAGGTCGTAACTGGACGAGATAACTGAAATATTCTATGATATGGTGAGGGGTAGTTAAAGAATCGAGTCGTTGAGAATAGTTGCATTTGGCCACTTTATTAAAGACATAAGATTCTGGTTTGCACAATAGTCTAACCAATGTAAACTATGTTTGCTATATATATGAGTCCTGTGATACATAAACTAACACAAATAATTGGTCAAAAGTAGTGGACATCCCTGGCTATAAGTGAAAGAGACCTCTATATATTGTCGTGGAGTGATAAGCCCAGCGCCTAAAAGGACATCCAAAAAAGACATCAAAGTATAGCGTCAAATATCGCGCCAGATACATAATCTTATTCAAGTACTACCTCTCAATTCCATAGGTTACTGCCCTTGTGTCTTCTTATCTTAGAAGCGGATCGATAGAAATGAACAACAGAATGCTTAAATTGTGAAAGTACATGTGTTGGCGAACAGATCTATAAACTATGCATTTTATATCTCAACATTAGTGGTTGCTGGGGTAAGTGAACCCATTCTCCTGACCGAAGAATTCTTCCTTAATCAACCGGGGACTAACGAAACGACGAAGAGGATCAGAGCTACCAGCCTTGTCGTTAGTTCCGCTAGCACGAGCACCACCGAAAGACTGCTGGCCGATAAGGGCGGCGGTTGTCTTGCAATCTGTGAAAGTAAACAGTTAGGTATATAAGAACAATCCACATAGAGACTGTGAGACTTACTAATATAGAAGTTTCCGGCAGAGTAGCGGAGCGCATCTTCAGCCTGGCGGATAGCAACGCGGTCCTTGGCAAAGACAGCACCAGTCAAGGCAAATCCACCTCCATTCTGATCAACAGACTTCAAAGTAGAAGCCCATTCGGCATCCTTGTAGATGTGCACGGCAAGCACGGGGCCGAAAATCTCTTCGTTGAAGAGACGGTGGTCTGGTGATTCGGCTTGGTACACGGTAGGGTGCACGTAGTATCCAACAGATTCATCATAAGTACCACCGGCAATCAGCTTGAGCGAGGGGTCCTTGTTGCTAGCATCAATGATGGACTTGATCTTCTCGAATGATCCACGGTGGATAACGGGGCCCATGAAAGCCTCCAAATCCTTGTCCGGGTTCCCAATGGTAATTTCCTTGATCCCAGCCTTCAGCTGGGTAAGGAACTGCTCGGCACGAGACTCGGGCAAGTAGAGACGAGATGTGGCGGAGCATTTCTGACCCTGGTACTCGAATGAACCGCGAATGGTGTGGTTGACTGCGCTGGTGATATCGGCGGAGGGGTGAACGAGGTGGAAGTTCTTTCCGCTGGTCTCGGCAACGAAGCGAGGGAACTCGCGATATGTCTTTGCGGCAACACCCTGGCCAATCTTGCCATACAGAGAGCGGAAGACATCGGAAGAACCGATGAAGTTCAAGCCGGCAAAGTCGCGGTGTGAGAGCACAGTCTCGGTAATAGCTTCGGGGTCACCAGTCACGAATTGGATCACGTTGGGAGGGAGACCAGCTTCCAGAAGAATTTTGTAGAGCAGAGAGCTGGCGTAGACGTTAGATGCAGAAGGCTTCCAGAGTACCACGTTGCCCATCAGCGCAGGTCCGCAGATCAGGTTGCCGCCAAGGGCTGTGAAGTTGAATGGGGAGACAGCGTAAACGAAGCCCTCCAGAGGACGGTAGTCGATGCGACTGCGAGTAGTTAGCAAATGACCCACTAACCATAGCTCAAGACTTCAAATATAAACTAACCTCCACATGCCATCACTGCCACGAGTGGGCTGCTTCTCCAAGATTTCAGCCGCCCAGTTACAGTTCAGACGGAAGAAATCTGCCAACTCAGCCGCGGCATCAATCTCTCCCTGCCAGATGTTCTTTCCTTGCCCGAGCATTGTAGCCGCAATAATCTCGTATCGGTACTTGGTACACAGCAGCTCGGCAGCCTTGAGGAAGATCGAAGCTCGATCAACGAATGGGGTATCTTGCCAGCTTTGCTTTGCCTCCAGAGCTAGTCCAATAGCTGATCGGGTCTGCTCATCGGTGGCAAGCGGGTAGTTTGTGAAGGTAGTGGCATGTTCGGCGGGCAATGGTTGATCCCAGGACTTGGAGCTCGCCTGGAATTTTCCGTCAAAGAAGAGCTCGCTCCGCACAGGCAGCTGAGAGCGGAGCTTGGTCAATGCTTCTTCAAGCTTGGCACGCTCCGGGGAGCCTTTCTTGTATAGAGGCTGTAGTATAATTAGCATTAAGCTAGGCTAAATAGTCCCGTCCAACTCACGTTTGGTTCGTTTCGAGCATCAGGGAGGCGGAATGGCAAGGTGGTCTTAGTACGAGTTTGAATAGAAAGTCCTGCAGGAATGGGGCGCAGGCGAGAGCCAGTAGGCCGTGCCGAGCGAAGTCTCATGAGTGTAGTAGACATTATGAATAACTAGCAAGTCTGAGTCGAGTTAATGGCAAATGTAAACTTGAGAATCAGTTTGAGACGACGAACAGACTGATTTAAACGTCAACGACCAACGACCCCTCCTAGAGATATCGGAGGCTTCCCCGTTTACCCCACATGACGATTGCAGCGAGCTTGAGCTCTGACGGCCAAGATTAAGCTAAATCCATAGCTGCTGTTCGAGTATCTGCAGCATCGGGAGGCCACCCGGTGCTCGTATCAGGCTGGATTGGGTAGTGTATTCCTATCCCCGGAGCCATATTTTCGAAGTAGATAAGCATGAGACTTAGAACTATGTACTTCATATTATCATTATGCAACAAGAAGCTCAATCAAATGAAGCTCGTTGGGGCAGTCCTGAACTAGGACAACTGGCCGGCGATCTTGCCGCAGCAGCAGCCTCGGCGTCTCTAGTGACACCCGCGGTAGCCATTATCGACAGGTTCGTCCGAACACTTCCAAGCGCGATGATTCCGCGCTAATAGGCTATTAGATCGCTTGTCGAGCAAGCTGCCTTCAAACAACCAATTCTCCGCGGACTTCGTCGGCATGCGCTCTGGGCCCTCCGACAGCCGGGTCTGTTTGTCTTCCAACGACCCTTTGGTATTGTCTGGGCCCTTTACGCGGCAACCTATTCCGTCGCAAATGTGACCGACACAATCAGTCGCAAGCTTGGGATAACCGTCGCAGGGACGATCACATTTGCCACGACTATGATGGCTAACGTGCCGCTAGCGCTGTGGAAGGACATCCGATTTGCGCAGGAATACGGCACCGGCAGGGGTCCCGATGCCAAGACATCAAACACTCCAATCTCCGTACCCCTCCAAAACAAGTCATTGGCACGAACTGCAGCTGCTATCTTCCTCGTACGAGACGGTGTCACTATCTTTGGATCATTTACGTTGGCCCCGTGGTTGTCGGATGCAATCCCCGATCGCTTGGCAACTCATCCCCACACAAAGCCGATCATCACTCAGTTGACCGTGCCCGTCCTGACTCAGCTGGTTGCTACTCCACTGCATTTGTTGGCGTTGGATATGTATACACGGCAATATACTATGCCCTTCCTGGAAAGGGTGAAGCATTCGCAGCAATATCTTCCCTCATCGACCTTTTTGCGTTGTGTTCGTATTATTCCTGCGTTTGGAATTGGGTGCTTGACGAATATAGAGTTGCGATCTGCTTTTCATGCCAAAGTCTCAGATTGAACAAATCAATTTATTGTCTAACTATATATTTCATACCCTGTAAAAATCGCGCGGGGATCAATAGACCCAACGGAATTACACTAGAGGCGTAAATCTATGATATATCGCAAGCTTCCATCTAAACACTGATAAACATCACATCATCACAATCTTCTTCATATCGTTTTCAAGGATTCTCCGCCTGGGTCGCCTCCATACCCTTCTCGGTATCGTCGACGTGTGCCAGAATCTCCGTCCGGTAGGGCATCTCCTGTGCGATTCGAAGCCACCGACACCGAGACCTTTTCAGTTACGAAGTAATAGTTAGCTTATTGTAACTTGTTGAATGATAGGTTGGGAGTTTACCAGTAATGACTCTGCCTGCGATAAGTTGGCCGAGCGAGAAGGGACTTGCTTGAATGGCTATACCAATTAGGACAATGCAACCGGCAAGGAAAATTGTCTTGCGACGGCCAAGTCTGTCACCTAGAAAGGCGCAGGAACCTGCACCTATTGCGCATCCAACTTCATAGATAGCGACCGATGTGCCTTGTAATGATCAGCATTGCTTTCGTTAACTTCTAACCCATTCATTTGAGTAGATACCTTGAATTGTAGAGTTGTGAGATTTTTCACTACCGCTGGTATTCACGGCCTGACCACAGGTGACGGGTTTATTACGTTTAAGCGGTGACATCCATGGATGTGAAAAAGGGGCTACTAAACTATTTTGAGTATGAGGTTTCCTGGAAGATTTGAAGGCCCGGGCCGCAGCCATTTCAAGTAGTTTTGACTCATAGCTGGACTATATATACTTGATGTTTCTTAAGAGTGATAACCTATAACCTAGCTTCCTACAAACCATCTGAATTTCAATATCTGCTCCTTCAAAGCTTTTCATCAAACTTCATCGGAATATCACTCCTATTACAACCTTGCAACCACTCGGAACACGAAGGTCAGTAATTATTGGCTTAGATACGGGGGTGTGGTAGCTAAGAAATTTCCCAGCTTTTCATCTTCACATCTCTAATTTACACCAACAAAACGCCATGGACCGTGCCGAGGACAAATCTGCGCCTCAACATCCCGGCGTTGCTCAACTGGGAACGTTCGCAAAGCTCCCACTTGAACTTCGTTGGATGATATGGGAATCTGTCTTCGATGAAATACATCCCACCCCTTTTGCTTTAGCTATCTTGCTTTGCAGTCGATACCTCTACCAAGAGATATCAGACCATCTTTTTAAGGACTTCGAGCACGAGTTTCAAGTTGCGGGCGGGCTGAGATTCAATTTTACTACCAGGCGGACACATAACCACGGATGGGAATTGAAGACTATTGAAGCTGTTCGCAACCATCTCCATACCTTTCCATGGAGAAGAATCGGGGGTAAAATGTTAGTTAACATCTCATCTCCCCCTCAAGAAGATCCCGGTCAAATCGTGCAAATTTGGCAGAAGGTCAACCAACTCATCAATACACTAAATACAACGCCTTCAGCTCCTTCAGTATGGGTGAGCCTACTAGAAGATTGGTCGAGGGATAAGAAACCACAAGAGAGTATCACATATACCAACGGATATCGCCCCGATCATGATATTGCAATCATCCCTTTCACACGCCTTTCAAATTGGTACTATCGAATACCACCGGCCTATTCTGCTACGCTAGCGACCGAACGGGAGTTACGAGAGGAGTCTCAGTCTCTTCTATACAAAAATGAGAATGATTGTACATCTAACGGCTGGAGTTTCATCACTACGGCACCTAGAGATTGGCTCATCGATACCCGAATATTTCTAGACACGAAGCTCGATGATATTCCTGGGAAAACGGCTGCAGTTCTTCGGCTGGAACGATTCCAAATCTGGAAGTCGGAATACGAAAAACAATTCGTTACGGATCTTCGGACACGCCGACATATTGTTCTGAAGCATGACCCCATGTTACGTGCGGCTATAATAAGATACAACTTATTCATGTGTTTTAATCCTCTTCCCTCGCACGATGACCTAGAGAAACTGAAGGCTGCTTGGATCCGGCCATGGAGAGATACCAGGTATGCCGAATCTCTTTGGTCAGGTTATTTTGGAGATAGTACGCCTAGCCTCACCTCCTGGTTCGTGGATGACAGTAGGTTCCCTGGCACAGTGTTCGGGAGGTTTCTGGCTAAGGAGGCTAGAGCAATTCCAAACAGGGTACCTTCCTATTTGCCTGATCCTGATGAGAGCGATTGAAACGAGATCGAAGAAATTCTCTGCCATGTTGTGAATCTTACATTGTTCCCTTCGACCATTCAATTAATTTCACTCACACTTTCAACTAAGCATTTTGACCTGGTCCTTCAGGGGGTTTGCGTCTCTTGTCAAGTCATTCATAAGTCATTTATTTGTACCAGGTGGGAATACCTACCTAATCTCTTCCTGTGGGCCAGAATGGAAACTGCGATCTTGCTGTCTTTCCTTCCTCTTGCACAGTAGTCCGTCTTCCGCTTACTAGGAACACCGTGAAATGGGTCGGACCTCGTCGACTGCGTGCGATGAGGTGAGTCTTGTCTGCAGGGCCCTCCTTCTCGGCTCAGTTGATCCAGCTCGCCCTGGAATGAGCCTTCCTCCAAGGCTCGTGTGAACTCCTCCTTCTCCTCGGCGGTACGGGGCGGTGCGGCGAGTAGACGAGATGAATCCGGGGTTGGCGTCGTCTCCGGAGCCGACTTTCGCACATCCTCCACGTATCTCCCGCACTTCTTCCACAACTTGACAATTCGCACCCAGAGATGGCGATTCGCTCTCTGATCGTCGGGTAGAAACTTTCCCAGGTCTTTGGCATTGCTCGCGATTGCATCGCGAGTCTCCTTGTCGCCAAGTCGACTGGGACCTCCATGGCAGATCTTGTTGCGTTTCGCATATCCCAAAATTGCCGTCTTGGCCACATCGCTGCTGATCTTGATCCCGAGCCCCTCGAGATGCTGCAACACCCCCGCCAGCTTCTCCGAGGCTTCCCCCCCCCCGAGCTCCTCCTCCCGCTCGAGATCTATGCCAACAGCGACGACTCCAGCAGGCCAATGACCTTGGTGGACACAACGGGAAGCATGTTCGAGGCGCTTCCATACTCGCCCCATATAGTCGCCGTAGCGAAGGTAGAATTCCTGCGACCGGACGGTCCTCTCCAAATCCTCTGTCGCATCGACGAGTCGGTCGCTCTGACCGATTGGGGCCATCAAGTCCTCGTTATTGTCGTTCGGCTCTTGATTGACGATCAAACGGCTTCGCCCGAGAGTCTCGTTCATTGTCCGGACCAGCGGAGACAGGTCCTCGATGATGTGAACCGACGCTTCCGTCGGGGAGGAAGAACTGGACCCCTCGGCATAGGCAGATCCACCTGTAACAATGTCAGCATGAGGACCAACGGGAGGGGACATACCTTGCGCCCTATTGAGGGTCTGCTCGCCAGCCCTGGAAATTCAGTCAGTAATGCATGAATTCATTGAATACGATTACCCAACTTACTGCGAGGTATCCATGTGTGTGCAACAACTACGGAAGGCCCTTGATAAAGAAAAAAAAGAAGTGTCGTCGTGTTATATACTGTAACTGAGCAGTACTTTTGAAATATTGAGAGAAGGAAAAAGAAGAGAAGTAAGATAGCAAGATCAACAAAGTAGTTATACTACAGATGAGGCAGGCACTAATGTATCTACGGTAGCGATGGGTTACCTAGGCACCCGAGGTAGTGGGCATGGAAGGTGCCCCTGGTAGGTAAGAGCTAACGTGTAGGGAAGCAAGAAGCGAGAAAGAAGTGAGCAGGAAGTAAGAGTATAGAGAGCGTAAACATAGCTTTAGATCAGAATGAACAAAGAATGGGACATATGTTGAGTCAACTTGAGTGCAAGGCAATTTGTTAGGGGAGGTCTACGTGGTGGAAGTCGAAGTGCATTGTGCAATGTGAGATTGATTGAGCAGAGAGTTGTAAAGGTTAAGTTACAGAGTAAGAAATCCAACACAATTAAGTCTTAATATCGACGACCAGGATGGGGTATGAGCTCAAGGATGTATAAAGCACGAAACAGTCCTACTGCTATTTTACCTAGACTTACTATGTGAAGCAGATGAATGACAAAGCTGTCAAAGTTGCCGGACGAGATATCCACCTTGCAGCTTTACTGCTTCCCTTTGTCCACCTTTACTACCTCTTTTGGATCCATGTCAGATCACCAAGTGGCTGAATATGGAAATTTGGTTCTTTCTCCGATGTATTCGGTCGCCGTTTGGTTTTCATCGGAACATTTGGTGTATACAATATTTCGAACAATGCTTTGGCTGTCTCTACTAACTATGCTAAGAGGCCCGTTTTAATCTTCGAATTCCACCACCACTGTATTTAGGTAGACTTGAGATGACTGTTAATGTCGTACTAGATTTTAGATCCGACAGATTCAACATCATTATCCTCGTCTACTATAGCCTTATCAAAGGTGTTTGGAGTGTCTTTGACAGCAAACACTGCTATATCAAGAAATTCAACTAATTGATTATGGCTTATATAGACAATGGCATTAGGGATAGAAAGCTTATCGGTGAATCGTTTTTTGGCTTCACTACACATGCTGCTGAATTCATAAGTGACGATATATATTCGGTTGGTTATTACTATCGCTTATGATGTGGTGAAATGAAGACAACCCATATACAGTGACGGGTCATAAATTTTAACACCGGCCTAGGGTTAGGGTTATCCACCTACCCCGACAGAGATAAGCTTACCAAGCTTCGGAGGTTCACCGAATGGGCCAATCAGCTCCCCGGATTTAATGCTGAGTGGAGCTTAGAATTCCTATAAGTCTGGTACACTGCGGGGCTAGGCGTACCTACCCAGCTCATCGTAACCTTCCAAGGTTGGAATATGTATGGTACCTACTCCCGAGGACGGGTACTCAGCAAACCTCCACGATTACTTTCCGATTCATTTATTAATCCGAGTCACCATACATGTTGATTTGGCCATATGACCATCCTCCGTTAATACCTCATATCCACTCCCCCCCTTAGCTCTTACGCGGGGGTACGTTCGTGTGGACCGTGAATTTGAGGCAACGACCTTAAATGTATAGCGGTGTCCGGGATAGGTAACATATCCCCCTTCTAACTCGTGGAATATCTCTTGTCTCATGTATGACTTTCCCGGTCTATATGACGCAAGTTGGCGCACTGGTTCGGTACTAACGGTCTTGCCTGTGAAACATACGGAAAAACATTCTTGACCACCCTAGCTTCAACACGTCATCATTGCGGTGAGATCTAGGGCGATGTGTTACCTGCAATGAGAAAGAAGATCAATGATCACCAGACCAAATTTCCTAAATTCTCACTGCTTCCTCTATTCCAGGCAGTCGGCCCGCTTTTAAATTTAATTTCAATGCTTATGATGATAGCATTCTCCCCGAGATCACCCACAAGATGCAGGTCTTTGCCTAAACTGAGATGCATCAACGTTGTCATAACTCTGGAAGATGTGGACAACCAAATAATGCATGATCAATCCTTCAATCCTTCTGGCCCGTTAGCTCATAGCTTTTCTCCGGTGACAGTGAAGATCAGTCGACTCATATATAACTTTATTTCTCTACGCTATACAGGTCTAATTTATTCCTACATCCATGGTACATGAAAATAAGCCAGTGCAATATATTGATCATAAAGTCATATTATTTCATTGGGTGTGCTATGAAGATGATGAAGGAGAAAACACCGACTTCACTCTGCGGAAAACCTCCGTCTTCAACGCCCGATACTCATTATCTGTGCGCAGAACAGCATCACGATTCTCAATTGCCCGACGAAGCAGATAGGCCAGACATTCACCCATACCTCCCCAAGTGGAACATTTATAAACCTCCGGCGTTCCATCGCCATCATTCATCTGAAGCAGCGAAAAGCTAACCTCATCGGACATACCATGGAGTTGGGCAAAGCGCACAGGAACGGTGGGCAAGCCGGACATAGCACGATGCTTATGGAGCTCGTGGGCAGCAACCACGCTTTCCTTGTTATGACTTGCCAGAAATAGATTCACCGAGGGGAATTCGCGGGTACCCTTATCTCCGAATTCTCCGATATTCTTCGTCAGAGCCCCCTGGGCTATCATATTATATGCGTTGTCGGTGTCTTCCTTCGTGTCGTGGATCAGGGACCGTTCATCCGTCGCCATGTATGCGCCCCTCACGAGCTTGAGACCGAGAGTAAATCCATCTTCCTTTGCCGCAGCGAGATGGTTGGCTAGTGTCGCTGGTGTGCTTTTGAGGTAGGCCTGGTATGTATTGTAGATGGTGGAATAACCATCGCGATTGTAAGTGCGCATAAGTTCCACAGCAACCCGTGAAATGCCCTTTTGGAAATGCTGAGATTCGGCATCGACGAGGATGCGAACCTTTCTATCTTTGGCCTTAGTACAGACCTCATGCAGGGCATCCATCATTTGCTGCGGAGGTAACTCTCCAGCGGCGAAAGCCTCGGTGACGCTAACGCCAGCGCCTGTCAATCTTATAAATGGTCAGCTGTTATTCCATGGAATAGTGGGTTCCGAGTAGCTTACTTGACTGCGAGGTAATCCTCTGCCTCTGTCATATAGATGGTCTCAACTGTCCCTTCCCGCCAAGCTTCGATGCTGGGACAATGGTAGGCCGCAGCATCGACAGACACATCCTCTTGCTCGCTTTTCGAAGCAGCAATTCCCTTTCCATGCTGAGCTTGCGTACTATGATCAAACACAGTCTCGGCAGCATATGTCAAAATCATGCCGCGAAAGCCCATGTCTTTCATTTCGCGGATGGTAGATCTGCATTCTGCGCCATTCTCTCCAGCACAGAATTGATTATAGAATGTTTTCTTTAATATTCCATGCAGAAGCGGATTCCGATCCACGTCAAATAGCCAGATTCTGTTAGGTTTGGAGAGGAAGGACATCAACGAAAGCGCCGGGGTGAGGAGGAATCTCTTCGACGATATCGTAGAGACGAGCAGAGATCTGAGCAAGACACGCGCCGGTAAAGCAGAGAGGGGTGGCAGTGTGGGGCTTGGAGCAGTCTTCACTTGTGTTTGTGCGTGTGCTTGTAGTGTCGAGGTAAAGCGCAGTGAAATTGATGTATTCACATTGCTCGTTGGCCGAGTGCATCGCGCAAGAGCCGTTAGAGGCTTCCCAGGAAGTACGGTACTCATTTCTTTCGAATGCTATTATGAATTCTGACTTCTGATTATATGAAATTAGGCGAAGGGACCAGCTTCTTTATCCTTCATTGTTGTTCCCCTCGTATAGAACCAGATAACGTCTCGGACAGGCGCCCGGTGCCCTCTGATATTCGATGGAACCCCATGCGGGGTGATTATCGCTCGTGCTGGTCAGTCTCTCTATAAACAGTAATACAATCCGGAAAGCCTATTCGAAGGACTGGTCTTATTGGTGATCCAAATAATTTTGGTCGTGGAATGTCTGCACGGGAGACTCGCCGGTGGCGGGGTTCATGTTATCAACGGTATGCCTACCGACAGCGCCTATTTTGGTTTTTATCAAGTGACACAAATATAGACTGAAGTGTGCGTTGTCGCTGTTAAGAGATAATTTCATGTTACTATTTGGGTCAGTTATTGATATCTTTCAAACATGACAGAAAGGTTTATGTGTATATAACGAACATGGGCAGTGTTCAATTATTGCACTTATCAGGAGGAATATACCATGTATTCCCAACATATATAAGTATACAACTCTTAGTTCGTTCTTCACTATCCCTCTTGAACTTCAGCTTAATGTTAATTTGGTAAACAGATGGCAGCCTCCTAACGCACGACGCACTAGACAAAACTCAAGATCACTAGTCCACAACCCCCTTTTTATACATATTCATTACTATTTACTATAAAAACAACTCGTCGATATGTAACTTTTAATGAGTCATGAAAAAGCAATCTAGAACTTCTTCACCCGAGGTGTTCTCTTATGTCGGATGAAATCGGGAGATTAGGGTTCACCAAGGCGCGATCTTCTCCTTGCATAGCCATATTTAATCTGATCTCGCCGAGTTGAACGAGGTTATTACCCATCATACACTGTAGATTGTAGAACACAAGTTTCTCAACAACCTTGGAATTGTTGTCGGTTGAGTCATAGTCTGCGTTCTGCATTGTAGGAAACAGAACATCTATAGCATAAAAGATGGACAGTTCTGTTGGGACTTTGACTACTCAATGTTAGAATCAAAACATTTCAGTTTAGTTGTATCTATTTATCATTCTTCTGCCTTTTTCTTTGTTGATCATGAAGCTCCAAACAAGTATACCTCGTTTTTCCCTTGTGAACACTCGTCTTCAGCACAGCGCATTGTCAAGGACAGGCACTATATCATATTCTCAACCGAGCAGGTATACCAGGCTCTCAACCTTGATACCGACCAAGAGGAATCATACAACAAGCACCCAAGTTGGTCAAAAGTCATCATGGACCCATCCAGTGTATGTTGGATTAAAGTGCCCCCATTGGAGGAAACCTTCCCTTCACCATCCCTTATAATAAAAAGATTCGTATCTGACATATATCACATTCCTACTAGATACACAAAAGAACAGATCCTCGCCGTCCGAACCGCCCACCGCAAAGCACACACCTGGCAAGATAGAGCAGCTCTCGGAACCGTGCGCCTCCTACGCTGGGGTATGGATCTCGTCTCCGGGTATCACACACGACCAACAAACACAAACACCATCTCCAAGTCCCACCTCATGACCGAGGAGAAATGGATCACGAGATTCGTCTTTCTGGAAAGCGTAGCCGGCGTTCCAGGAATGGTAGCAGGCATGCTCCGACATCTCAAAAGCATCCGGCGAATGAGGCGAGACAACGGATGGTGAGTGACACCATCCATCTCCTCCTATTAGACAGAAGGTGGTCTAATATCGCACACACCATACAGGATAGAAACCCTCCTCGAAGAAGCGTACAACGAACGAATGCATCTCCTAACCTTCCTCAAGCTCGCCGAGCCAGGCCCAACAATGCGATTCATGGTCCTGGGCGCGCAGTGGGTATTCTTCAGCGGATTCTCCCTTGCATATCTGATCTCGCCTCAGATTTGTCATCGTTTTGTGGGATATCTAGAAGAAGAAGCTGTGATCACATACTCGAAGGCAATTCTTGACCTCGAGAATGGGTATCTGCCTGGATGGGAGGGCTTGCAGGCTCCCGAGATGGCAATTAAGTACTGGCAGATGCCAGAGGGGCAACGATGTATGCATTCACTGCTGCTGTATGTTCGTGCTGATGAGGCGAAACATCGTGATGTCAATCATGCTTTGGGGAATTTGGATCAGAATACGGATCCGAATCCTTTTGCGGCGGGGGTTAGGGTTCAAGTTCAATCTGTTGCGAGTCCGACTGGTAGATTACGCCAGCTGGAGGGTAATAGTCGGAAGGAAACTTGATTGAGGTACCTATCTCGGTTGTTGTTTGTTTGGCCTTCAGTCACTGACTGGTCTATCCCAAAACGGGGTTGTGCATAGAAAAAGCAATTACTAGAGCCCTACTATATTATTGGATGTCAAGCATGTCGATACACTTGCGTGAGTTACTATATATCATTAGTAAATATTTCCTTATCTCCAAGTTTGAATCAAGTCCAATGTTTGCGAATGGCACTGCATATGCATAAGGTGTTCGATAGAAGGCGGGTGAGCTGCCGGGGGCTTGTCGGGAGGTGGTCCCGACTGAGGCCTAGACATACAACTGGTCAGCGTTGGTTGTACAGAGTTATTTCTGGGAATCAACAAATCATTCCGGTCCGTTTGACTGGCTTTGGGTCAAATTACGAGGGCATTTAGTATGTAGCGGTGTGGGTTCGATTCACCCACAGAAGAGTCTAGCCAAATACGCAGCTTCGCTAGACAATGTAAGAAACACTGCAACGATCTGAGAAATACCCCAGAGAAACTAAAGATGCTACACGTTTTAAATATAGCAGGACGGTTCATGGTCCTAGAAATATAGAAACAAGGAAGAATGCAAAATGATGCCCAAGTAATACCATTTGTTTGGGATAAAAGAGTAGAGATATCGTAAGTACATGCAGGAGAATGCCACGCCAGAAACAAGAGAGACCTAGTAACCCACGCCATGTAGAGATACATAGCTGTGATTCTTCGGGCCGAAGAAAAAATGCCGTGAGTCTGGACGCGTCTGCATTATGAGCTGGAACCGAGATAGGCGACAATAAAGTCCCCTATCGAGATTCCACGTGCCTTTTTCAAGCATGTCTTTCCATTGAGTCTGCAAATGGGATCTGCGGGTCTACGCAAGATTCGGTGCCTTAACAGGCCTCGATGCGCGGACCGGTCAGAGGAATCCGGTTCAGTTCTGCGCCAAGCCGTATTTTTGGGCATCCATACCGGGGGGATTGGGTCCGGAAGTTGGTGCGAGCTGTGGTGCCAGAGTGTTTTAGGTGATCAGCCATTATCAAACAAGGGATAGGCGACCACGCTGCTAGTTTGGTGGAAGTTGTGTTCATTGCCGGTCAATGACTGTGAAAGTAATCGAGCCCATGACAGCAATGACGGATCGCAGGAGAGGATATCAAATTCAAATGTAGAACGATCGGTGAGGCCTAATAACTTTGTGCCGATACCGCCGCAGGCTGGAATTGGTTAGCGATTTGTTCAAGAAGATACGGGATACACTAAGTGCATAATTTGCAAGCAGAAAGATCGGCAGTGTTGCACGATGCAGCAACGATCAGATGGGGTGGAATCCAAGGGGGGTTCCTTACAGGGCTGTTTAACATGCTGTTGCGCTTGTTTCGGCCCTTCTTAATGTGGTTCTTCAGGGCGGTCGAGTCCAAGGGTTTAAGAAGCTCGAAGCTGCACAGAAGCTCACCAGAGACTGACATGATAGCGCCCCAGTTATCGAACTCGCCACAATACTATAGAAAGATCAGTATGACTCGATGTGAAACATACAAGAAGGTAACTTACGTTGGGTGCAGAAAACACAGTCACCAGAATACGATCCTGGTAGAACTCATACCCATCCTCCACAACCATGTGAGCACGGCAAACCAAGTCGAAGTCATGACGCTGCAAAAAGTCCATGATCACTTTCTTTCCGAAGCAGTAGCTAACACCACGCTCGTTAGGTTCCCAATCTTCCTCCATGTCCGCCGGGTCACTCCACAGGAGATCGTTTAATAGACCATAGTCCGGTACGTCAGTGGGGCGGGCGATGCCGCGAATGTCGTCCATATGCGAAAGACTAGGAGAGAGGCCACCGTGGACACAGAAGATTTTGCCGGCCACAGTCGCAGCAATGGGGAGACAATTGAAGGTATCGATGAAGGTCTTCCAGACCTTGATGTTACAACGACGCTTGCACTCGTCATAGAACCCATAAACACGGGTAACGTTGGCACACTCATGGTTTCCTCGAAGTAGGAAGAAGTTCTCGGGGTATTTCAGCTTATAGCACATCAGCAGAAGGATCGTCTCCAGACTCTGCTTGCCTCGGTCGACGTAGTCGCCCAGGAAAAGGTAGTTGGAGGCGGGAGGGAATCCACACATCTCGAAGAGTCGAATAAGGTCAGTATATTGGCCGTGAACGTCGCCAACAATCTTGACGGGAGCTGAGAGCTCAAGCAGAGCAGGCTGCGACAGGAAGAGCTCGCGAGCGGCGGTACAGATGGCGGTAATCTCTGCGTTCTTCAGGCAGACTGTTTTGGTAACCTTGCTAGAATAACCAGCGTCTAGGAGTCGTGAAATCATGTCGTCCAAATCAATCGATTTCAAAGCACCCATACCCATCCCAGGGGATCCCGAAGTCTCAAGTGGAGCGTTCAAGATGAAGTCCAAAATGGGGTTCAGTTGGTTCTCTCGCTTCATCAGAATTGATTCACCGGCGACCGCGGTGGCCCCAGACGGAGGGCCACCAGAGGGAGGGCCATCTGACACATGGTCGACTTCGCCGCTCTGCTTCATCGCGTTCACATCCTTGTGGCCTCGTTGCAGGGTGGTGGAAAGCGAGGGGGACGGCGGAGGTTGGGGGGAACTGGGTCGCGAAGCGCTCTCGGAGCCAGGCGACTGGGGGAGGCCGGCATTGGAGCCAGGGCGACTTCCGACCGACTTGAGGGATCCAGCATCGGATTTATCGGTCTGGCTCTCAGTGCGGGAGAGAGCAGTGGTGGAACCCCGAGGGCTATCGGAGCTGCGAGCGCCAGGGATTTTCGATCGGATCGAGCCGCGGAAGGAGCGGAGAGACTCTTTGGTGTCGGACTTGGAAAACGAAGGGTAGGATTGAAGAGGGTCGCCCGAGGCGTTGCTCTTGGAATGCGACTGACCCATCACTAGAAGGTTCGGGTAACTGCCAAGCTTGAGTTGATAAGATCGCACGAACGATGGAAGTTGGAACTATTATGCCGAGAAACCCCTGTTGTGTTGCTGGAATGTCTTGGCCCGAGCTTCTGCAATATCACAAAAAGCTTGGGAGAAATTCTGCAAGGAATGCGCAGTGATTTGTGCGAGGACTGATTATCACTAATCCACCTGGTTTGGACCTTAAACACACGGGCGGAGCCAAGTGCAAGATGTTGAGCGTAGTTACGAGACAAACGGGTGAGGGTGACGAGGTCAAATTGAGGATCTAGGTAGCGGGAGAGATGGTTTGCGATTGATGTAGATGTAGGTGGAGGGGGTATCGAGTTGGTGAGAAGCTAAAGATGAAAGGCGGAAGCTCCGATGTGAGAAACTTAGCAAGAAGCTCTACAGAAAGTTAGCCACTTGCACGAGACAATGCAGGTGCGGGATTGCAGGGCTGACTCTGCAGAAACCCAGGTGGCATGTGGAGGTATAGGTGAGAAAGGGAAGAAAGAAAAAAAGAAGGATGCAAGGGAGGTCCTTGAATGGAGAGGAACTGGGAATGGTGGGTTTGCGGGTAGAGGAATGCGTCATTATGTACGGGGGGGTTTGAGCGGGTGATATTCCACAATATTAGGCCGCAGGCAGACACAACGGGGGGGGGTACTCATTTACCTCAATAAGAATCGTAGGGGTATATCACAAGAGGGTGAAAATGTTCCCTGCAAGGATGAAAGCCTGAAAAAAGAGAGGGGGGAAGAAAGTTGAAGAGAGAGAGAGTCAAGGCCAGAAAGGTCAGATGTAGGCAAAAGTACTCCGCCACCGCTAGTACAGCAAAATGGTACTTCGTGGGTACAAAGTGGCTGTTTTTGTGGTTTTGGTTTCTTGGGCCCGGTCTCGATCGGAATGGGGTGGATTAGGTCAGCCGGATTATCTCTCGGTCCGAGCTATACAAAGAACCTTGTCTGAACTTTGGAGTCGCGTCTAAGTTACGCTGAGGGAAGATATAGAGTCTAGACTCTTATATTTATATTGAAGATCGATTCATTATCCATCAGCTTTGATCAAAAGGTTATTTTCTTTTTCCTTTTACATTTTATTTGAGTTCTTTTTCTTTTTTTAAAACAAAACTAGTACACATAGATCCGAAAGTTTCTGTATGTTGTAACTATATGTTTCTCATAGCTTCACACCGCAACAAATTTTGGAAATACGTTCTTTGTTTGTTTGTTTGTTTTTTTTCCCTTGTAGAACCCTGACTTTCTCCTTAATATCCGAAAGGTATCTTTCTCATTTCCCCATATTCTATATAAAATCCTTTGGCCTTTCTTAGCTGTTTGTCTTTTTAAGCATCCTTTTTGAACCCCCCCCCCCCCCCCACTATTAGCGCTCGATAAGCGATGCTCTTCGCCCTACAATGTACATGCATTTACATTTAAATTTGAATCTGGGCCACCTGAAGAGGCCATCACAAATGTATTTGCAGAGCCAGTCGGACACTGAGAATCTTTTTCCGACCCCTATTTGTCTATCCCGGAGCTTGGACCCCGCCACCGGCGCCATATCTCCTATCAAAAGTGATAGAGATAAAAATGCAGCACCCACTGACCCAAGGACTCGACACCACGTTCGGAAGCAAAATGATACATCACAAAATTTATATGTTGCTGCGTGGTAGAGCATAAGCCTCCTGCAAACACTTCCAACAGTGGAAGGCGGCTAGAGGATAGTAGCGTCCGTTCAGAAACAACACACACCCCATGATCAGATCGCAGCGGAAGCGGACACGAGCCACAGATAGTCTTGGTTCTGCACGAAAGCAACCAAGCTGCATGCCAAGGGATATCTGTGGCGGAGACACCGCCTTTTTGCCCCTCCATTCACCCTTTGTTGACCAAAAACGCCTGCCACGAACAATCTTCCTATTCGATAACTTGACTGCAGACCGGCAGGCCAAGCCACCTTAGATGCTGCGACACTGCGATGCAGCTGCTGTGATCCCGGTGCCACGTTGATGGAGCAGCGACCGCCGCTGCAAGCAAGCCTCCTCTTGGCAGCCCCACGCCCAACTCTCGTCCTGGCGGAAAAGCAGGACCAGGGTAATGGTGGGCGCAGGGCAGAAACCGGGCTTCTCCTGCGGCATATCGCGTGGGTGGGTGCAATAGGTGCCATGCTGCTTGGTATTGTGGGGCAGTAGAGCCAGGTTTATCATTCGAGAATAGAATAAAGAACGATCCCCCAGGTGGGAAAAATGAAGGGCTCGCGGAAACGAACCCAAGTTGGAACCAGATTATGGCTTACTCCAGCTCTATTTTCGTAATGTGACGTCCTGGGATGACAATGAGGCCTATCAACCGATGTGTCATATTCACTTTGACAGTTGCGCTCTTTGCTTCCGACCCTTCTCCCAACGACTGTTTCTCCTCTGCAGCGGCTTGTACGGCAGATGTGGTGGGCATACGATATTCAAAGGAGTTGGCGAGGATAATATTTCGGTCCTATCAAGGAGTTTTTAATTAGTACCATTCGCTATATGCTTTTTGGAATCCCATAGCACGTAGTTCACAGGTGACTGCTTACCGCATCGGTACACTTGAAAAGCCCAACAAACATCCGAGTATCCGTGGTATAGATCCGCAGTGTACGACCCAACAGGCCTTCCAAGTACCTAACAGACTGGTCGTCATTCATTGTGGTTGGTGCGTCGTTCGTGTCAGCAGCCAAAAGCCCTCCAATGTGCGGGGGAGTTGAAGTCTGAGGGTAGCTGAGCTGAAAAGGATTCCCACGCAGGAGGACGGACAGAGTCGGATTATTCGGGGGTTGGCAAAGTTAAGTAAGTTCGTAGGTTCTCTTGCGGTTTGGGATTCCCCTGGCCTTGTGGTTCAATTGAAGGAGGGACGAACGTCGAACGTCGGGTGGACAAAACAACTTTATTGGTGCCTGAGGCTGTATTAGGCCAATGACATAACAGCCATCACAGCCATAACAGCCATCACACTAGTTAAACAAAAATCTACAACTTAGAAAGAGCTAGTGTCTAAATAACGAGGAGTGAATATATTTTAAATTTAGTATCAGCTATTGGTCTTACAATAGACGTATATTTATGCATACACAAGTGCTTATATCGAACTAGTTACCATTCCAGGCAAGCGATCACGATACCTCCACTATAGCTATCCAGAGCTGGATCAAATAATCACACCCTTACCCCAAGGTTCAATTGAAGTCAGAAGTCACTGGAATATCGAGTTAAGCCAGATATCTCGCCATGTATGTTCATTAAAAGCTAAAGTCTCTAGTCTTTCAAGTATTCCCAGGCTACCATAGACGCCAAAGACCGAAAAATCTCTTAGTTCCTTTCGAGAAAGGAAGAAAAGCAAAGCAATATAATTAGCCAGTAACACCTTGCCCAAATAACCCAATAGGTATCACGAAAGAGATGGAGAGGTAATGGTACCCTTTCCTGGTATAAACACCAGCGCATGGTGGTGAAGAAGGACCCGTACAACCAAGTTACATCCAGGTCACTCCTCCCACCCAGTTCTTGGTGCCTGGTCAAACCCATCACCACCGTTTCCGCCATCCATATCCATATCCATGTCCATGTCCACATCAGCACTCATCTGATTGGATCCGGGGCTGTTGCTTTCGCACGAGCTGTCTCCAGAGCTCATTTGATTAAACGCCTGGCGACGCAGGAGGTCCTCCTGAGCGAGCGCAGTTTCATTGGCACGAGGTGCAAGTGCTGAGCGGGATGGTCGGAAAGATGATGTTTGCTGGGGTTTTTGTTGGAAGAATCGGTGTAATGTTTGTTGTCGAGGGTCAACGTCTTCTGGTGTTTCGGCAGTTGGCTCTGAGTCCATTGTATCCATATCGGTGGCTTGTGTAGACTCCTGCTGCTTTTGGGCGGAGAAGATCCATCGTAGTGTGTTTTCTGCCAGGTGTCAGGAAGGTTGAACGTTGACACAATCAAGGGAGAGTGCCACAAAAGCGAGGCGAGGCGAAGCTCTTACGGTAAATCATTTGGTCACTAGGACGATCGTCTCTGAAGCGCTTTCGTGTCCGGCTGTGGAGATGTGGGCTCCCATCGATCACCATTCCCCATTCACTGGGGGCCGGAGCTGACGGACTATTCGGGATAGCTGTGAACGAAGCTTTCCGCTTGAGTGACATTCTAAGAGCTTGGTGTGTATAGCAAGGTAGATTGGTAGGAGGGTGTGTAGATATAGTCGCGTATAAAAGGTCTCACGGGGGTAATTATAGGAGACAATGTGACAATTGAAACGAGGACTGGGTGATGCGGACACAATTGGCTCAGCGCGTCATTTCCGAGATTCGCGTTGCATTCCATCAGGCTAAGCCCAAACAGGTAATATAGGTACAAACTCCGATGCTCAGATAACAACTTTCCACATCATGGACTCTGGAGTCTCCAGATTTCTAAAGGAAACAGGATGTTACTACGCTCGGTAAATATGCCTGACCTAGAGATATCAATACTGTTGCTTCAACCACACCATCATACTTAGTCGATCATTCTTTCGGTATCCAGGACTAAATTACTTCAAACAACATATACAGGGATGTACAAACGGACACTTGATAACTGTCTATTTTGGTCGTTTTATCTTTTTACAAACAGACACTCGGAACTATGCAGCTATTCGATCCTTTCACTTTGTTTGTCAGTGCTGTATCTTGGTATAGGTATAGGTACATATAGGTACTTTCAGGGTTCCAAATGATATTCAGATAAGGAAATTCACAATGTGATATTGACTAGAAACTCATAGATGGAATATATTTACTACAAAGCTTTATCTGTATTTTCCAAGTACATAAATCCAGTCCAATCAATCTTGGGATACACAAATCTTCCAATATCTTCCCTATCGGCGCGCTGGCTAGAGCATTCGGGATCCCCCCGCTCCCCCACTTCTCCTCAATTAGAGAGCTTCACCCTTGTAGGGCAAAACCACTTCTCACATTCGACCCTGACATTAATCAATTACTTCAAATCCTATCATGCCATCTCGACAGGCCTCCCACTCTGGATCATGGTACTCAGATAGTGCCCGTACACTGGCCCGTCAGCTGGATGGTTGGCTCGCGCAGGTGCCAGATACGATGGAGAAGGTCGGCTCGCTGCCAACTCCAGGAGCCAGAGTGATCATCGCACCGTATGTCTGAGACCCTCATCATACATACGATGTTATCCAAAACCAAGCGTACTAATCAACCAGGCATGCGGGTTATTCATACTCGGGGCCCTGCGCAGCCTACGCATACAAGGCGCTGGATCTCTCCAAAGCGTAAGCTTATCTCCCACCTCTTTGACGATACTGTTCTAACTTCATAAACAGGAAGCGGATCTTTATTCTGGGACCATCACACCATGTCTCGCTCGCAACACTGGCTCTTCCAACGCTAACTTCCTACCGTACCCCTCTATCCGATGAACCCCTCCCACTAGACACCGAGCTGATTACCCAGCTTCTCGAAACCCAGGCAACTAAACCAAATGGGGCAAAGATTAGCTTCACAACCATGTCGCGTTCGGTTGATGAAGACGAGCACAGCATCGAGATGCACCTTCCCTACATCCATCGCTTGCTCCAACTCCAATATCCAGATTCTGCAGCCTCTGAATACCCACCTCTAGTCCCAATCATGGTCGGAAATACCTCGGCCTCGACAGAGCAGGCATTTGGGGCCCTCCTGGCCCCTTATCTAGCGGACCCGGAAAACGCCTTTGTGATAAGTTCGGATTTCTGCCACTGGGGCCTCCGATTCCGCTACACATATTATGTTCCACAGACCCCCAGGCCAGGGCCACGACTGCCATTGTCTGGTGATCTACTTCCACAACCCGGAATGGATGCAAGCAGTGTTGGTCAGGCTCTTGAAATGGTCTCAGCTGGTCACTCCTTGCGGCAACGCGATCGCATCTCAAGCCGTGAACCTGCCATTCACGAGAGTATCTCAGCATTTGACATGGCTACCATGGCTGCCATCACGACGGGATCTGCAGAGTCTTTCCTCGATATTATTGACCGCACGGGTAACACAGTATGCGGGCGCCATCCTATCGGGGTGATCATGACAGCCCTGGAAATTGTCACGGCAAGTCAAGCAGCCGACCAGGAAGGACGCTTTTACTTCCTGCGGTACGAGCGTAGCTCGGATGTAAAGGAGATTGAGGACAGCTCGGTGAGCTATGTCTCCGCATTTGCTGTACTTTGAGATAGTCCATGGCTAAAGTCAGGCTGGAACCAACGAGTCATGAGTGTCTGGAATTAACTAGATATGACTTATTTAATATAACGTTTAAGATTGCATTTCCACTGGGGCCATGAATGTGATAGACTATAGCGCTCATTTAAATCACCAGTCTAGATACAAAGAAGAAGACCTTGGATTGAATAAATGCCCGAGTCAGATTCTTCTCCGAGTTCTAGGTCTGGTGTTGCAACATATTAACGTTGAAGCACCTCATGGTTGATGGTTGCACTTGGGGGATACACCTGGTACATCCAAGGTTTAAATGACCCCCTGATCTCTTAGATTGTATAAGATGTTTCAGATGAGATCTATTAGAATATCTCCGAACGCTAAATTAAGAGATTCCTTGTTATCACGAAATATCAAACGTGGAACACCTCCTGAAATTAGCCGCTGGGCTGATGGAGGCGTTCTTCGGCCAATCCGGCAGCCCTACGGCATGTTAGATCCCTCTCTCCCTGTCAGCCTCTACCCCTAGACTCAATATATTTCAACTAACCAGATCACACAGAGATATCTTTCGGCTTTCTAGTCCCGTCAGAATCTTTGGAAGCGCCGAGGATCCTTGTTTGACAGGCACTATGGTAGTCGGGGTATTAACAAGATTACAATGTACTTTTTTTTCCTTGAAAGGCAGCAGCCCAATTTAGGGCTTCCTTGTCTGATTGCTCTATTGTCTCCTCCATACAAAGAGTGGACCTGGGATGTAGACAATGTGGAAATTGTCAAACAAAGCGCTCAATGCATCTAATACTTCTTTTAACTCAAGTCCGATGTCCTACCTTTATATCGTCTTTCATTTCTTACCCCTCCAGTCACTCATTAAGCTGGATCTTTCATTCCTTATATCTTCATATTTCAGCTTTGCGTAGTGGAGATATTCCTTGGCTGGTTCTTGGATTTCTTCACCGCTTAAAAAGCCATGTTCTTCTTCTTCATGGCCCTGGTTGGCCTATTTTCTTTCACATTCGCTTTCCCGACTCCAGTCGACTACGTTACCAGGATGGCTTCTACCGATGAAAACGTCGGAAACAAATTAGTTTTCTGTCATTTTATGGTAACTACACATCTCTATATTACATTTTATTAAACCCTTCAACATAAAAAAAAAAACCACTGACATTATCTAGATGGGCATCGTCAGCAACCGCGAAAACGCCTCTGACTATGACGATGATATGAAACGCGCCAAAGAAGCGGGTATCGATGCCTTCGCATTAAATATTGGCACCGACTCTTACGGCGACACCCAACTGTACTATGCCTATGAATCTGCCGCCAATAATGACATGAAAGTGTTCATCTCCTTCGACTTCAACTGGTGGCAAGCCAGCCAGGCCAGTGAAGTCGGCGCCAAGATCGCGCAGTATGCGAATCATCCCGGGCAACTCATGGTCGACGGGAAGGTCTTTGTGTCGTCATTTTCGGGCGACGGTGTCGATGTGGATGCGATCAGATCCGCTGCTGGCAGCGAGATCTTCTTTGCGCCGAATTTCCAACCCGGCCAGAGCGATTTTGATAAGATCGATGGTGCTCTGAATTGGATGGGTTGGGATAATGATGGAAATAACAAGGCTCCGACTGCTGAGCAGACGGTGACTGTTTCAGATAGCGATAAAAATTATGAGGATGCTCTTCAAGGAAAAGCATACATTGCACGTGAGTAGCTGGAGTATGTTGGGTTCTTCTGTGTATATTTGCTAATTCATAAATAGCCATCTCGCCTTGGTTCTCAACTCATTACGGTCCCGAGGTCTCTTACAGCAAGAACTGGGTGTTCCCTTCCGACCTCCTCTGGTATGAACGATGGAGGGAGATCCTACGGCTCAGCCCTCGCTTTGTGGAGATCATCACCTGGAATGACTATGGCGAGTCGCACTATATCGGCCCGCTATCGTCACCACATACAGACGACGGTGCCTCGAAGTGGGCGATGGACATGTGAGTAGAGATAGCCCACCCTAACAAATTATCAGAAACACCAACTAACAAGGAAACAGGCCCCACAACGGCTGGCTCGACATGGCAAAGCCCTTCATCGCCGCCTACAAAGCAGAGTCGAGACTTCCCATCAGATTCATAGAGGAAGAAAAACTAGTTTACTGGTACCGACCAACTATGAAGAGCGTCGACTGCGATGAAACCGACAACACAATGCAAGGCAGCGACAACAACGACACCGGCAACTTCTTCCGCGGCCGTCCGGACGGCGCCCACACAATGAAAGACGAGGTGTTTGTCGTCACCATGCTGAAGATGCCGGCGATGGTGAAGGTGCAGTCTGGTGATAAGACTGAGACCTGGATCGCGCCTCCGGGGATCTGGTCACATTCAGTGCCGATGGGCGTGGGCGCGCAGAGTTTCAAGGTCACTCGCGGCTTCCGGACGGTTCAGGCTTTGTCCGGGACGAGCTTGAAGGATGTTGTCGACACGTGCGTCTGCGGTGTCTACAACTTCAATGCTTATGTGGGCACTCTGCCGGCGGAGGACACTGTTGATCAGTTGCAGCCGGCTGGTTTGAGTATGCTGACGGAAGGGTTGCTAGTGACCCCCCAGATTAACATTCTGGGTCAATAGTCTTGGGTGGACATAGTATGTGTGCTAGCACGGCAGCCCCCCTGGCTCTCAAGGTTAAATTACTTATTGCTTGAGATCCGGGACCTATGTACAGATTACACTGAGTGAAGTGCGCTCCTTGGTTGGCTCACTTGATCCAAGTGTGAGGTTACCTATAGAACATCAATCAATAAGATACAACACGCTAGCAAAAGTAATGTACCGTCCTTCCTATTTAGATGATGTATTATTAGTATGTTGAATGGAATTGAGTTTAGAGAGTATAGATCCAGATTCGGCTAAAGAGCCCGAGTTATTATCTTCCGCAATTCCTTATCTTTTTTGAACTCAGGTGTTAACTAGATAACTAAATATGTAAAGAAACATGTAGCCACATAAATACCTCAACTTATACTCCGTACCCCTTTATCTTTTACCCTCACCGACTCTTTACGCCAGTCCTTAGACCACTTGGGCCCGTTCGGACTGACGGGAACGTGTCGTGCCCGATAGTTAGGGGTCATCAGGTGCAGTTGCAGATCCTGTGACACTATATATGAACCGATCTCGCTGTCAATGTCAATGTCAATGTCAATGTCTCTTTATTTTCAATTTTAGCGGGGACGAACAGAGTCACTATCAACAATGGCCCGTACGAAACAGGGAGTTTTCTCATGGGAGGATGTGCTTCTTCAACGGTACCAAAGTAAATAACTTCTTTTTCTTACTTATTTCCTACTTCTTTTACTTCTTTTACTATTCTTATTCTAACCAGACTTAAAAACAAAACAATAGGCAACAAACCCCCTCCACTCCCCCGCCATCAAACAATAGCAATCCCCTCACCCCAACTCCAAAGCCGACTCCTCACCCGGCTATCACCGGAACTTCGGTTAATGATCTGGGAATTTGTCCTGGCCGACCAAAGAATCCACATAATCCAATGCACCAAGCAGCGACTCGGACACGTGGTGTGTGCATGTGCGCTCGAGCCCAGGTCTTCACCATTGCCAAGACACCACAAACACCAGAACAGCAAATGTGAGATCTGCCATGGCACGGGCATCTCCCAGCCGGCCAAAGAAGCCGATCTTCTCCGCTGGAATAAGGTTAAGCTACTGGGTCTGGCGTTGACTTGTCGACAGATGTATGGTTGAATGATTTTATCCTTTCTTACCCTCTCTACCCCTAACTACAACATACCTATACTTCTATTGTACGATATACATCCACAACCTCTACCTCCTCTCCTCATCCCCAGAAAAAAAAGAACTACACTACACTACACACTCAAGACTAATCCAAAATAAACCCCCAGATACCACGAATCAATCCCCTTCCTCTACACCCTCCCAACCCTAGAATTCAGTAACCCCTGGACCCTCCCCTACCTCCTCCCAACAATCCCACCTAGCCACCGCGACCGCATTCGCAAAATCGAGCTCCGCTGGTCCTTCCCAGGCCACTGGCTCCCGAGCAAAGACTCCGTGCGCGCGGTGTACGTCTCCGCCGGACGGACACAATGGACAGAGACGTGTCGGGCCGTCTCGCAGCTACGGTCGTTGCGGTCATTCGTGCTCGTGCTTGAGAGTAATTGGTTCAGCGAGCCTGTTGAGAAATTGGTTGGGTTTTTGGAGCCTTTGAGTGGGGTTGTTGTGAGGTCTGGGTCTGGGTCTGGGTTGAGACGGGATTGGGATCGGGAGCGGGATTGTGGTGGTAAGAAGGATTATGTGGGTGTGGGTGTGGGTGTGGGTGTGGGTGTGGGTGTAGATGTGGAGATCGGGTTTCAGGATGGGTTCAGTTCGGATGAGGACTCTTGTAGGAGTTTGGGATCGGATTCTGGGTCGTTTTCTTCTGTTGGGGGTTATGCTACGACTACGACTACAACTACAACTATGGCTAGGGCTTCTGGGTCTCGGGGGAGTTGGGAGTTGAGACTTCAGGGTCAATGTTATTATTCACATGAATTGGATCGTATAGGGGTGGATCTTCGACGGAAGGGCATCGACTGTTGGATATCAGCGGTGTGAGAAGGAGTGGTACCGGAGTATGCTCATTGCAATGGCGTGATTAAATATTTTTATGTATGTTGTATGCTGTAGTTATGTTGCAATGATCGTCTGGTTGATAGACGATGTATGTTGTACAACATACAGCATAGGTCGTCACTTTCTCCTTGTTTTTTTTTTTTTTTTTTGGTTGCAATATTTCGGTATCATTTCGGAGTATGTTGAAGGACACCGTTACAGATCTACATATTAGGATCGGAGTGTCGGCATATCGGGGTATCGGGGTATCGACACATACTCGGGCATCTACTTGTTTCTGTACGTTCCATGTATATCCTGTATTCCTGTATTCTGATATGATAATATACATTAATGCTACTAAGTTGCTATATATAACTAACTAACATAAAAGTACATGTATAATTGAATTTCTCGGCTTTTTCTTATCTCCTATACTCCGTACTTCGTACTCTCCTGGACATTCAAGTGAGACCCTGGACCCACCGACAGGAGCGTATAAATACTAGTACATCCTATAAATATAACACGTGTTTCGCCTTGCGCGAAGTAGGAATGGTGTAGAATCAAGATGATATCAGGTCTGATTTCTCCATTCCAGGTACATAGTACATAACTAGTTATGTACATAGCACAATGTACAATGACATCCCCTAACTACATAGTTAGTTATGTATGGAGTAGAGTTAACAGGAGTATTGTATATGTGATGATGGGTGATGTCGCCAGGGGCAAAAACTCTGTCCGGGTCCACCAGAGGCGCTAGGGAGAGCGCGGGGAAGATTGCATATCCCAATCAAACTAGTATGGTAATTGTTTTATAGAATACCAACCTTGGAAGTACATTGGGAGAATATTGAATAATAAAATATTGGTATTGAACGGTGTAAGCTCACTCATAGAAAAAAGGAAATCGACCCTTGAAAAAAGGTGGTCAGGTATATAAGAAGGAAAAAGATCGAACTGGCGATCCTGCCAGGACATGCAAAAGTAAATCGAAAAGAAAAAAAGAAAGGAAAATGGCTGCATCCATGACTCCCATGACTCGTACATGTGTCGTTGGGCAGTTCAACATATTACAAATAAAAACTGAGAAAGAGATATGGAGAAAGGAGAAGGATAGAAGATATCGTTGTCACCATGGGTGCCGTGGTAAACCCCGGTTGTAACCCATATTAAGTGCAAGATGGTTGGGGAAAAATCAGGCTCCGGATGTAGTATCTCAAGAGAAGAGAGTAAGGGAATGGAAAATATCGTCGTGATTCGGGCGTAGGAGAGAAATGGTATGATCCATGATCGGGGGGACAATTGGTCAATATAGCCATTGTGAACGAGCAGGCCCAGGAGCCTGCCCGTCTAAGCCTGCGGTCGCACATGCTGGAATCTTTGTCAAGATAGAATGCTCGTCCTTCTGATGCTGACCCCCAAAAGGGATGTCAGCGGCACGGAGTTGCCCAGCGCGATCGCAGTGGCTTTGGTCAATAGCCAAGACCAAATGTGGCCTAGGGGTTTCTCGAACGTCGCTGCGCCCGGCCAGTCCTCCGATGCGAGAAAGGGGGCTGTGGAATATTGAATATCCAGGTCGCACAATCGTTCGATAAGTGGTGTGGCTGATATGAAATTTCAGAAGCCGAAGGGGTTGATGTGATGCCAGGTTACCAGCAGGAAATTTACCGTCCTTCACGGGAACGGTCGGGTCCGGAGTTTCCATGGCCTCGTGCGGCAAGCCACTCGGTCGAGGCCTCCTGGCGAGCACCTGGGTGTTTTTGGTCCTCGGGGCGACCGGTAAGGCCTTGCGGGAGCATGTTGTTAATTTCTGCTGCCAGAGCAGATGCCATGTAGCACCGGAGTTCCTTCTCTTCGCGCTCATCTTCCTTGATCAGGCGGCGTTGGTCGGTCTTCGACATGTTTTCGCGACGCTTGCGTCGGATCTCGTGGATCGACCACAGAACAACTTCTTCGGGGGCGCGATTGCGAGGGTTTCCGTGTCGGGAGAAGTTGCGAACGTAGCGGCGGGTAACATCGGTCGCACCATCGATGGAGAAGGCCACACAGTAAGAGAGCTTCCGTTGCCAGCCTTCGGTGTACAGGCGAGGCTGGTCCCAGGCGCCCTCACAGGAATCAACGTGGACCCATCGGCGCTGGTGTTCCGAGTACACTTCAGTCCAGACATGATCCTCGGAATTCCAGACCCAACGGACTCGGGCCCCGACTGCGCGGCACAACATGCTAAAGCAGTTGGCCCATTCGCCAGCTCTGCCTCGTCGAGTTTGCAACAATTGCCACACATCGGAATACCGCGGGAATCGCTCATGGGCGGTACAACTAGTATCGGAACAACGGTACAACTCGACTCGGGTGGCGCCCCGGGCGGTCTCATCGGGGGTGGGAGGGGTCATGCCTTGGGCGATCGTGGGCATGTGACATCTCGAGCATGGAGGGTTATTAACAAATTGGAAAAATGACCCCTTGAACCATCTGCATGAAAGATAGACACGTTAGCAAGGGCGCGATGGGTCTAGACCATCTAGGGATTCCAACATACCTTAGCAATGCTCGGATCACACAATCTTGGTAGCCCCATTCCGGCTTCCCTCCCACGCTGGCAGCCTGGGCTTGCATAATTTGAGATTCCTCCTCAGCCTCGGAATACAGGCGATCGAGCGGAATGACGGACAAGGCCTCATCCAATAGACCCGGGTTTTCGTACTTAGTTGGTGTAACGGATAATCCTTTCAATAGATTGTAAAATTTAAGTGAGGCTGGATCCTGGGGAGGCGATGGCATGATAGGAAGACCGCGTAGTGCTGTTGGGGTCGTGGATGACTTTGGGGAGGGAGCGGCGGCAGGGGTGCCCAACGAGGGAGGTGGTGGCGGAGCTCGGGTCGGTGGTGGAGGGAATGCTGAACTGGACATCGGAGATGGTGATGGTGAATTGCTATGCGAACGAGAAGGTTCATGAAGTCGGTTGAGTCGTTTGGTGCGCATCAGTTGCTCGAATTCGTTGGTTAAAGAGGAGGCGTCGTAGCCATTTGGGGCAGGCTGGTTAGCCCGATGTCTGCCGTCCGCCATAGTCGATGAGGAAGTCACGGCAGACTTCCAAGACGATGAAGGTTGAGATCCAGAATGACTATGACTCGAAATGGGTGAACAATCGAGTTTCGTCGAAAGAGGTCGCAATTTGACCCAAGTTTGGGGGAGGGGAGGGAGAGAGGAGTAAGAAATGGGATGTCAGAGACGAGTAGTAAAGAAAGGACTACCTCGCTCGAGTTGACGTAGCACTTGAAGATCACTCTCTTATTGCAGAGTCAAAATGGAAAGAGAGAAAGACAAGCCCTTGGATTAGAGGGAGAGAGAGGGAGAGAGAGAGAGGACAAGAGTACGGAGTACGGAGTAGCGTACGCAGTATTACGAGCGTCGTCAGCATCTGGCCCCAATCACGGGCCCCGCAGCCAAGCCGCGTGTGCGAAAGCGAAAAAAAGGGCCAAGAAAAAGACCCTTTTTCCCCGTAATTTCCGTAATTTGTGTATTTTTGGCTCCCGTGAACACGTAACGTCCACATCCAGATTTTCAATGGATCGTTGTTGGTTTCTTGGCATTGTTGTATACTTTCATGGCTTGAAGGCTTCTATAGCTATCTTTTTTTTATTTTATTCTTGACATATAACATATACTCATGACCTTAATATTATTATTACTTGGGTATATATCCAAGTTACATTATTATGTATGTAGGTGAGTATCCTATATCCTAACCTGGCTTCATCATGCAATACGTAAAGCCCTTCCAAAGTTGTTGTCAATACAATAGTGGTTGGGTACAACAGTGAAGATCAATACGCTTGAGGGTTCATACGGCGATGATCAAAGCTTATGGCTGGGTTAGTATATATGTACTTGGTAAGAGTACAGAGTACCAAATCAACATTAAGCTGAAGTTCAAGAGAGGGAAAGAAAAAAAATTATCAATATTAAGGAGAATAAGTTGTAGGGCCAACGCGCGGCCAAGGTACGAAAGCTCAACTCTTCCGTCCGCTTTTCCACTCAAAGACTGGAGACGCGCAAGCGTCCGTCTTGGCATTTCACACGATCGGGGGTCGACAGCCTCCTAAGCCGCTTTGAGGCGGTGCTTATAGCCTAATGAGGTTTAGCGTTAGTCCCTATGAAGGGGTCCTTCCAAGGCATCTTTGTCTTCTTTGGTATGAATGCCCTATGCAACGTGAGATCGTAATTCTTGGGATACTCAATCGTCCATGTTCGATAGGAATGTGAATGTGAGATCCATACTCCGATCCATATTTTTTTTTAAAAAAAATAGTCCGTACATTTTATGATAGTGCGGATCGTTAGGGCTAAGTCCGTACAACGCTACAACCCGCAGGAACTCGTACTCCATCTCCATCGCCAATCAAAATAACCCGATTGAACCACCCACAAGACCCTGAAAATAGTGATTCTTCGACTTACTGAACCATCTTTTTCCATTTTGGGCTAGGAAAAGGATTGGGTCGTGTCGATCTGTTATACATATTATACGTATAGCTATACACATCCTAGAACCCGCGCTATGTATACCCTGGTTGGGAAAGGTTCTACACCTACAACATAAGTAGGCTCTTCAAATATATGTTTAACCGGCTCAATTGGATTAATAATCATGTTCTGGGCAGGTCCAGAGTGAAATATTAGAATATAGTTAGGGCTACGTTGACCGTGGCATGCCAATGATACAATACTCCGTACGGAGTACAATCTTGTTGTTCTTTTAGATTCACAAGCTTCCGAGATTCAGCCCTGAATTCTATTACCCATCCCATGACTCGGGAAATTACTGACCAGGTATTATTCTGTCTGGGGAAACCGATCCACCGCCGTCGTTTCATCTCCTGAGCCGCGTCTGAGCCTAGTAATATTCCAAGGCTATGCTGGGCTGTGCGATCGAATGGGTTATTATTGTTAGAATCCCATAAGTAGTTGAACAATCCATCATAAGTATCAAAAAG